AGAGAGCACTGGAATTATCAGCATGCTGAGGGGTATTGGCCGCGGATCGGAGGGTATTGGAAGCGATATTCGACGGGAACGCTGAAACTTGATGTGGTGTCTGTAAAGGTTTGTGTATATTATTATTATATATGTATATTAATAATATATATATATTATTATTATTATATATAAATAATATTTATTATTATTGTTAGAGTTGTGTTTAGGGAGGAAGTCATTATGTGGCGCTAAATCGGCCCGCGCCAGCGCTTCAACTGGTGAGCGCGTTCCTGAAGGAGCAACCGTACAACACGAGTGCAAAAGTTGACACTGAGCTGAAATTGCCGAAATTCCAGTACTGGCCACCGCTACCACCAGGTTAATTTGGTTTAATTATTACCAGTGGACTAATTGGATCGGTTGTTGGTTAATTAGATGGGTTAATTAGATGGTTGGTTGTGTCATGCAGCAGTATTATGTTGTGATTTGATATGAGTGATTATTTTAGTGAAAAGAACCGAAGCGGATCGGGTTTATAGTTTACCAGGCCTAACCTACACACCAAATTTCAAGCAGTATTCCGGTTATTTGAAGTCGAAGAAGGGTAATTACCTGCATTATTGGTGAGTTGTTGGGTTGGTTTTTTTTGCCGATTTCAGGTTTTTTATGGTTTTTTGTGGGTGTGTGAAAAACCGTTGGGTTTTTTTTGCCATTGGTACCACGAGAGTCAGTCATTTCAGGTATATGGAATCACAGGGGGACCCCCGAAATGACCCGATCGTGATTTGGCTGAACGGTGGGCCGGGGTGTAGCTCGTTGATGGGACTGCTTGAGGAGTTGGGACCGTTCCGACCGAACCCAGATGGGAGAACCCTTTTCGAGAATGTGTTCTCGTGGAATAAGGTTTGAAATTTGGGTATTTTTTGCATTTTTTTGGGAGTTTCAGGCAAATTTTTCGTATTTTTGGTATATTTCTATGATTTTTCCAGTTGGAATTTTCCATTTTAGTGAGATTTTTACGAAAAATCTCTATGCTGAACCAGTTAGCAAGGTCATTTTAAAAGAATTCGAACGAGAGAGAGAGTGAATATGATGTGTTAAGTGTGTTTTATTGATGAGTTGGTTGTTTGTGCATTTCAGTATTGCAAAATTTAATTTCAGGCCGCCGCAAAAATTTAATTTCAGGCCGCCAATTTAATGTTCTTGGAGACGCCTCGAGGTGTGGGATTCTCCTATCAGAACATGACTGAGAATCCGGATACGGAATGGGACGATACGAAGGTTAATTACGATTCGTTAATCGTTAAATTTTTAAAAAATTTAAATTTAATTGAATTTTAAATTTTAATTGAATTTTTACAAAAAATCAATTTTTTTAAAAATTTGATTCGGTTTCTTCATTTTCAGCTGAAAATTTGGAATTTGAAATGAAAAATTTTTCATTTACGAAAAAAATTTCTGAAATTTATTGTTTCAATCCGTTGAAAGCACTGAAAATTTTTCGGAATTTGAGAAAAATTTCGGGAAATTTGAGAAATTTTTAACGTTGCTGACAGTTTTAACTAATAATTAGTTAAGACTAATTAACTAATTAGCAACTAATAATTAATTAGTCGCCAGTTTTTGCTTGAAATTTTAAATTTTGAGTGATTTAGACGGCCGAGGAGACGGCTGACGCCATCGAGGACTTCTTTAACATATACAAGCATCTGCGTTCGCATAGGAATGAGCTGTATCTGACGGGTGAATCGTATGCCGGCATCTATATACCGATGACGACGAATGTCCTGATCGATAGAATTCAGGTTTGGGGGGTTGTTTTGGGTGATTTTTAGTGGGTGGCAGTGATTTTAGGTTGACCTGAATTGAATATTTTATAGGTGTTTTGTGTGGTTTTGGTTTGACCTGAATTGAATGGTTTATAGGTTTTAAGTGGTTTTGGGTGACCTGAATTGAATGGTTTGCAGGTGTTTTGAGTGGTTTTGGATTGACCTGAATTGAATATTTTATAGGTGTTTTGAGTGGTTTTGGGTTGACCTGAAATTAATTTCAGCACAAAGGATTGAAACTGAATTTCGCGGGT